TCGGCCTTGCTTTCCAGTTCCGTCCAATTTTTGTTCATTTTTCTCATGTCTGTCTCCATTTCTCGGCCTAATCTGTTCTTTGATCTTCCTCTTCTTATTTGGCTTTGAAGATTCTATGTGAGGGCTTTCCCTGTGATGCAGTTGGGTGCTTTCCTCAGTGTGTGTCCTACCCACTTCCAGTGCTTCTTCCTGATTTCTTCCTCCGCTAAAATATGGTTTGTTCTATCCCATAGTAGGTTGTTGCTGATAGTATCTGGCCAACGGATCCGAAGCATTTTTTGTAGACAACTGTTAATAAACACTTGTGTATTCTGGATGATGGCTCTCGTAGTTCTCCAGGTTTCTATCCTATACAGTAGAAGTGTCTTGACATTTGTATTGAAAATCCTGACTTTAATGTTGGTTGACAGACAGTTGTTTTGAGTTTTAGATGTTATCCGATTGTAAATATACTGCTCTTGCTTTGCTGATCCACGCCTTCAAACAAAAAGAAAATGTAGCCTAAAGTTAAATGCGCTAAATTGTACTTAAACACTGAGTAGCACTTTTAGTTTAGTGTGATAGCATGGATCAATATAGATTTATATCAGGTTCTAATTTGATATGTTTCCATCTGTTATTGATTGAATCTTTGGACCGCTTAATGAAAAGTTGAAATTGGAATTATTTTTGTCATAAAAAGAAATCAACTTAATCTCTTGAACTCAATTTAGATCATGAATTGATATTATTTAGAAAACTACTGGATACAATACACCAATGACTTATTATTTAATATACACTGACTAATCATTGATTGTCAATTTTGTTTAGTATTTGGTACTAACTGAATTATACCGATAAAGTAATATCCCAGACTCCATCGGATACTTCAAGTTGTCAGTTACGACTTGATGATGAGTACTAAGTGATAAGAATCCTAAGTCAAGTATGGTTTCCTGCCGATTGACTACAACAATCAAACAATAATAGTCTTATTAAGATTACGAACTGAACTAAGTTCGTCAACTGATAGGTTTACAATATCTGTGAAACTTTGCTCAAATCGTTATATCAACAAAATTTAACAATCTTCACAACCATAAACTGATAGCAACTGTTTTGTCCTAGTAGTATCATACATCTAAAACAGTGTACACTTTCTTGATCCCAAATATAATTATATTCGGAATTTTTGAATTCCTCACCAAGCGATGCAATCCAATCTACAATACTATGAATAGTTTTAAATTTAATCAATTCACAATAAACAACGGAATACAATGAACAAGTTGGATGCAACTAGATGATCTGAACTTTGCAGATGACCTGACCCCTCTATCCCATACACACCACGCAAAGACAGGACAAAACAGACAGTGTAGCAGCAGCCTCTGCATCAGTGAGCCTCAGAATGTACATATACCAATAAGAAACTGATCATTTGCAGTCCTAAACATCAATGGGAAGAATCAAGTAAACAATACCATGTGAATTTAAAGATTATATTTGTTTTGATTTTCAGTACATTATCATTCCATGACAAAAATTCCATTTTTTCACCTTGGAAGGAACCTACTTCTCAAAATCTACATCTTTATGCATAAGTCTTTGATTGGCTTAGTTAACTTTGAACTACACTCCAAGTGTGGGAACTGGTGATACTGTCCAGTTTCCCCAGTTGCAGATGAATTTTAAGCTTCAACTAAGTGACTTGAATTCAAACGTTTTAATCATTGATCCCTTACTTCACAATGACCTGAAAACCACTGAACATCGTTGTACAATACCTACTATATGTTTAAGAATCGTCTGAACAATATGTTGAGCGTTCAGCCGCTTAGATACAAATGTACTTATGAATTGGTATACGGTTTTTATTCGGTTACACCGCTATTATTATAAACCAATATCTAGTCGCTGTCTGAAACGAGTACGTGAATTATCTGAATCTCTATCTTCCGAATAAATAGAGAATGGACCTAATATGATTTGATCAGCATCTAATTGCGTAATGATAAGCTTGTATTTGATATATCCTCTTTTCTTTCTTTCCTTCAGCAACAGGAAATCTACTAACCACTGACATTAACATTGAGTAATCATTAAAGAAAGTAAATTTATGCTTCAACACATAATTACTTTTCCTTCAGTGAATATATTTAAAAGAAGGTTCACTCAAATCAGAACACATAACTGCCAGGAGTCACTCAGACCTCTTAGCCTTCTGTCCTTCCTAATGTAAAAGTGAGACAAAATCACTAGTGTGTACGCATGACTATAGAGATGGTTGGGCCACGTATTACGTATGCCTGAACACCGATTACCACGACGTGCAATGCTAACCGGTGTAGGGGATGGTTGGAAGAAAGTTAGGGGCGGCCAAACCAAAACGTGGCATCAGTGCCTGAAGTCACTAACTTCTAGTCTGAGCCATGTTGGTAGATGCAGACTACTTAGTTGGGGTCCGCGTGACCATCGTAACCAATGGTTGGAGACTGTGGGTGACATGGCTCAGAATCGATCACAATGGCGTCGGTGCATACACTCCCTGTCTTCCCTTAAACTAAGAGATTAAAATCACTTCATATCTTTCTTTCTACGAACTATTTCTTTCTTCCTATACTATATCCTTATTGCAACCTTTGACCTAACCACTCCTATGAATCCGGTGTTCATCTTGCTGTGCTAATGAGGTATGGCAACCTGGACCGATGCACATATGTGCCTGGTCCTACGTTGTAGCTGACTGACTGACTGACTGACGCATGACTAACTATAACCTGAAGAAGTTTTAGGTTAAACCTCAATTTTGTTATGCTGCTCAATTGAATTAAGAAAGAAGAGTTTAAATCCTGGTTAGACTAAATGTTAACTGATTTGCCAAGTTGAAGTTAACTAAAATCACGGAGGTAACGAAATGAATTGAAGTCATTTTCAAACTCTGACGTAAATGTTTGGTCAAACAATCAGCATTCCTGAATAGGGAAGGCTTGTCAAATTAACATAAACTTAATACAAACGAAACCTGATCAAAACTCTTTGTTACCGGATACGCACTATATGTTCTACGGATATATTTGAAGATAAGCTAAACACCTTGCATAATATTCTTAGGGAGAACGGTTACCTTAGGAAGTTTATAATTAAATATATGATCACGAAGGTGAGAACTGGAGAAATACAAAGGGTGAATAAGAAATCCCTACTCCTGCGCCTACAATTCAGAAGGGATGTGGCTAGCGAACAACCCATAAATTTTTAAACGCCGGAGAACTATGATTTGTATTTTCTACGTGCCCAATGGTGACACCAAGGTTAGAAAATGAATTACCTAAAATGACCGTGTCATATTGTATTTATCAGTTCGACTGCTCCTGTGGAGCAAGTTATATCGGTAGGAGTTCTAGGAATTTATATTTTCGTGCTCGCAAACACCTCCCAGAGTGGCTAAGCAAAGGTTTGGTAAGGAAAATGAACAGTTTGATATTGGCCTATTTAGTGCAAACTGGTCATAGTGCCAGTATAAACCAATCCTTTTTCAGTTATTCATCGGGTCAGTAAATTTTTACCAAAGCTTGTTAGGCTTAAAGTCCTTCAAACGGCTGAAACAGTAGCCATCCGGATGAAGGAACCTGAGCCATATATACAAAAGAGATATCTTCAACCGCTTCTTTTCCTCTGGCCAACTTCAAGGCCAACTAAACCATAGTAATCTTAGCTTTTGAATGACCTAATTTGACCATTGTACTTCCGACCTTTTGTAGTCAAATTTAATTGTCTCTGTTATCTTTACTCACTAATACTTTATATTATCACTATTGTTTAAACATCATTATTAATCTCCCCAATATATGATTCATCCCACCTTATTATGTCTTACCAATAATTTCTTACACAATATAGTCTTCCATTAAACATATGATCGAATTGTAATTGCACCGTTATATTTCTCACCCTAATCTGACCCATATTTATCAGAATCATGGATCTTAAAATTCAACTTAACATATAAGCTGATTCAAGTTAACATTCCATATAAGTCATATCAACATGTCTATGATGTAGCAGTTACTTAGTGAAGATAAAGACGGACGGTCGCATAATATCGTGGATTGATTAAACTTAGACATTAACACCGTTGGATGCCGGTCCATTGGTCTACAGGTGAAGCGTTCGAGCGCGAGAACTGAAGTCCTTGGTTCGAATCCTTCATGTAGGATTGTGGATGTGCACTTCTGAGGAGTCCCATACTAGGACGAAATGGCCGTCTAGTGCTTCTAGGTTTTCAATGGCGGTCAAACATTGGTCCATTTATGACATACCTAAATTCTCATGCTTTAACTTTAAACGATATACTTTGCCCTTAACCTGGTCATTTTTCGATTATTAATTTGGATATATGAATTACAGAATCTGAAGAGAATATTCTTCGTTCATATATTAGTCGTTTAATAAACAAAGTCGTCTATTTGTTCATTATGACAGCTTAAAAGCAAGCACAATTATATAGATGTTGATGGAGTTTAGTTCTCTGAGCTTAATTGTTTGGTCGTGGAGCTTTGATTGTTCTTCTGAACGACATCATCAGCACAAACTTCTATCTGAAGTTTCAAAAGAACGATGAAAGCTCCACAACCAAAACATCCAGCTCAGAGAACAAAACTCCATCAAAATCATCCACTTGAACTACAAATCTTCTCCACCATCTCACAACTATATAGAGTCCTTTAGATAAAACACTCATAAGTAGACAAATTCATGAAACAGTTTACTATCTAAGCCATGTGAAGAAAATCAGTTTAGACATCACATTAATGTCTGAATTACACCATGTCCAGTTGTTTCCGTCTGTCAAGGTCATACCAAATATGCAAATCATCAATTAGAAAATAAGACAATAACTATTATCTGATTGGATGATCCATTTATTAAACGAAAATGATGATTGGTTATTTTTAATCAACCAATCATCTCACTCTATGGATAAAGGTTAAGACTCACAATAATAATTTACCTTCAGGAATTGTGATAGGGCACAATGCTCATGGTTCGATAAAATTCATCATGTTTTATATCATACATTCACAAATGATCTATCATGGAGTATCTTTAATAAAACTGTGGGATATAATTATTATTTAAAGTGGATTATTCATATTATTCTTTGTAATCAGAACTATAAATGATATATTAAAGTATAAAAATTCAACTTGAGTAATGTATATGTAAATGGCACAATCACTTCATTACATATTTATAATCAACAATCTGGTAGTGAATCGGATTTAATGTTCCTATTAAATTTCACTTTCACCAAATCATTTTTATGGGAATGGAGTAGTAAATCATATAATGTATTGAATTCTAGGATATATTATCTATTTATTATAACATTTGGTTTCATACTTCTGACTAGTGTATCTCTATTAACTAGTTCATCATCAAATGAATGGATTAGTACTGATTTTATTTCTTGTTTAAATGAATCCATCAAAGTAAATGCTGGTAGGTTTATTGTATTATCTTATTAATTCACACTACTTATATAGTGTTAATGTTTTCTTAATTGATTGTTTATCATGTATTCCATCCATGTGTTAAAGTTAGCCCAATTATCGTCAAGTATTTCCAACAATAACTAAGGTTAACCTTTTAAAGAACATTTGAATGATTAACATTGTCACTGACATGTCGTATCATATTGTGCCAAGTTGATGGTTAGATGTTCATGGTATAGATGAACTGTATTACCCTTATTGGCGAAACTATAATTTATGAACGAATCAGTCCGGTGTAAGATACCAGGTCTTGGATTTTGGCGCGAAATTCACTCATCTATTTGACTAAATAGATTTATGGCATCATAGCTGAAGTCAGTTCGTGATGAAAAACCCAAATGTAATTCCTAACCCTAACTATCAACTGTAAATCATACTTCTAATTCCTCACACAGGTTTATAAAGCTCATTTGGTTCTGGTTGTTAAGTAGACACTCAAGGTCAGTCTCAAAGGTCGTCCATAAATTATGGTGTCACCATTTATTTCACAGAATAATGATTTTCCTCATGTTATGGCTTGTGATCTGTTAATATATTACAAGATAATATTGCCATTTGGAGGCACCGACTTATACGACCAGACTAATGACGCATAAATCTGTACGAGCAGCCTAGAGTTCTTATTGGTTTTTTGACATAGCAGCTTTTTGCCGAAGTCAGTCGGTTCAGTCCAGAACGTACATATCAGCCTCTGTTATATGAATCATATATTTCGGACATACTGTGTTTATATACAAACAAATCAGACCTCATCATATCATAAAATATAAAATAATAATTACATATAATTAGTCCAAAAAGTGGTTGTGAGTGTGGGAGATTGTAGCTAATAAATTGGGGATAAGTCAGGAATAGTAAATCCTATAATAGTAGTCAATAGGTCAAACGGAAGCTTATAATAACAGGAATATGAATATACATATAACTTAGTTACTCGATAATTATCCAATAGGAATATATGTAATAATAGTCCATAAGCAGGTCAGCCAGTAACAACGTAGAACTTCGTACGTACGTACATCAGTTCGAGTTGCCATACTACACTAGCACAGAAATGCAGTTGCCGATTCGAATCCCGTAGTGGTGGAGGTAGTAAAAGTATAAGCAGTAGTCGGAAACATCAGGGTTTGGAGATGTTATTCAACGAGTATCATCCTATCAGTTACCATTCATCTACTCTTCATCTGGATATAGCACTTCATACTTATTCATACACAGCTAGAATGTCTGAAACTGAGCCGAATTCCTTATTCATTGGTTATAATGAGTAAATTCTAATTCTTGTGAAATACTTAGTGTACGGAGGGTTCATAGCTACATCATTAAGTTCTTTTATTTATTCCTATTTGTTGGATCAGGATTTCATTGTATCACTTGTCAAAAATTCTTATTCAAGATAGTGTATTAGATTTTTTGGGGGGTGGAGTTCTAAGACCACATCACCTAGAGGTTCATGACATTTCTCATCCGTGTTAATCGATTAAGGTTGCATAGCCTCATCGACCAAGTTGTTACTTTTACCCAATGCTTAACCTTAATATTCCTTATTCCATAGTTCCATCATATGCAAAGAATGCTTCGAAGATGATAAAGTTTTTGCAGCCTATGCATATATAATTTTTGAAGCTGTTTTTCACAGCCTTACAGCAATACAGATCAAACTGTTACACAGTATACTTGAACCTTAATTATTAGTTTGTGCTTGTTAAAAAAAGTAATAGTTGCTTAGATGCAGATACATTTAATTGTCACCGTTATCTCTCCTCTTGGCTACAGATTTATGACCTTCCATTTTTTTCCAATTTGACGTACCCTGTCTACCTAGGCGTTTAAAGTACCTACTACAATCAGTGACAGCTCTCTGAAGGAAATCAAGAAACCTTTTTTTCGGAGTCATTTACTACATTCAGGTTGTAGTCGATGGAAGCTTTAAAGGGTTATACGATAAGCCACCAACTTGTATCTCTTTTCTTCCGAGTTTTTCTTGTTCAACATAATCATACAGCAGGGGGTACCCTTCGCTTTGAATTTGTCTCAGAAATACCAGTTTTATTTTCAAAATAAATGCTATACATATATCACTAAAGGTCACGAACTCGTAAAGAAATGTCTATTCTGACCGCCCTCATATCGGTTAGGTAAAATCAATAATCATGTTTGGGCTATATATGTCTCTGTCCAGTCTAACACTCTCAATGTAGTTTTAGATGATAGTATTTCTTAAGCTTCGTTTGCACTGGTTACGAATGGAGGAGGAGATGAGGTCAAAAATAAAGGGTTTATAACAACAATAGGACAGGAATCTAATGCTAAAACATACTAACACTTCCTAGTTAGCCGTATCCTGCATTCATATTCTTGGTAAACTTGAAGAAAGACTGGATTAGTATTGGGGGTTTCAATGACTTGGAATCATAAGTGTAGATTCAAAGGTAAGACAGTTCATCTAGAACTTTTTACAGAGGGAGTTATGTTTATATCACTAGCTCCATACTTCAATTTCATTCATTGGGTCCAGAAATGTGTGAAGCGATGGCAGATGTACAATTTTTCAGAATGGATTTTGCTAATTTCTGTGTAAAGTAGTATAAATTAAGGTGCTGACCATCCCTTGAAAACACCTTTTTGACACTGTTTAAAAGACGATTGCCACAACCAGTAGAGCTTATTTAAGTCTTAATGATGTGCAAATGTCATCACCACGTTGAGATACCATTTACAGTTCGCGATCGCCGAAAGTTCAGATGAATAGAGAAGTTACCTCTAGTAGTATATCTGTGGCCAGACTAAATGATAATGTAGGAGACAGTTATGTGGATGCCAGTTGAAGTACTCAGCCCAAACGATAGTTGTTCTCAATCAGTAAACCGTTAGACATGTGCCTAAAGAAGGTCGAAGAATTCCCTGTCCACCTTGTTCATCTTCTTCATGGTCTCAGTGGTGGCCTTTTTGCGCAAAGCCAAGTATATCATTTTTCTTTAATTAGGATTTCACTATACACTCATTTAATGTGACTTCTCCAAGGTAGATATGCCTGAAGACAGTAATCGATTGTTGTTGTCCCCAAATGAATTGACACTTGATGGCAGCATTGATGAGGCCTACGAACGTATTTTTCAGTGTATTGCTGGTAATTTAATGGATGTTATTACCTTAAAATAGCGAGTTCGGTGAGTTGGATACGTTTTACAGCTGTCGTTTAGCTGTTTTTTTATGGGACATTATTTCCTAAAACTGTAACTGAGTGGAAAAAGTACAATCATTCAATTCGGAACATAGTATCTTGGAACGAGGAATGATTTATTGAATTGAGATTCCTTGACTCGTCACAACTCTCTGGACAGAGTTCTAAAGATTGAACAGCTCCTATTTATTTATTTGAACACATAAATATTGGTACAAAGGAGCACCAAATACATATGCGTCATACAAGTCACTTGATTTGTGTGTGGGCTATGATACTACCCGGTTGCCCAAACTGAAGCAGATGATGTTCTTAGGTAGTCACACCCCGAGCCCTTGACTCAAAAGTCTAATCTACAAGGCAGTGTAGCATCGTAAGGACATGCAGTCCCATGGTAGCCGCTGACCAACAATTGGTTCATACGCCATTTATTCCCTTGGGATCATGGAGCCCATTTGCACCATTGGTTTTGAGTAAGGGTTTTCCAACTCTCCTAAGTGGACCCTCCATATCCACCAACCCGGTTAGAGCGCCGGGCATTCGCTTTTCGCCCTCTTAATTTCGTAAACAACGTCCGTGGTGCGAGAAGGCAGTGAGTTGAACTTCCCTGTTAGTGGCTGTATACGCGTGTCTTTGTGAGAGCATTTGGAGAGAGAAATGTGACTCTTTCCACTCTCGTTCCTACTAGGGCATTTGAGGGCGGGGGAATAAAACTTGAAATTACTACAATCTCCACAAATCTATTTCTGATACTAAAGTTAGCATGTTATCAAGATTTTTGATGTTATGAATAAAGTTCTAAAGTATGTGGACATTTTAATGTATGTATCTTTGAATCCTTATATATCGATGTAAATGTACATATTAATATTTAACATATTATCAGTCAATAGAACGATGGCTTAATAAGTAATTAAAGTATTTTTATCAGAAGGAGTTTTGTGGATATTATAGTGGATGTGTCACTCAATTTGATAGATTAGTTGAATCTAGACATTAACACCGTTAGATACCATCTCAGTGGTCTAATGGTTAAGCGCTCGAGTGCAAAACTGTTAGGTCTTAGGTTCAAATCTCACGAGGTTGAATCGTGAATACACACTACTGAAGAGGAGTCCTACAATAGGGTGAAACAACCGTTCAATATTTTCAATTTTCCCATAGTGATTAATTCATGATCTCAACTATTAAAATTAAAGGATTTATCTTTTTAACCCAATGGAGATTTATAGTTCAAATCTGATTTGCTTTTTAAATGTAACTTTAAATGTAAACTTTACACATATTTAACCCTCATTGTTTCCCTATAAATGATGTACATGTGATTAAAAAGAAAATTCTTTTAAACTAAATTGATCCACAACATTGGAACTATGAATATGTTTACCTGTTAGATAGATAGATAGATAGATGGGTGAATGATGATGAATCATTTCCCATTTAGTTTTGTTAACCATAGATATTTGTTTAATTTCAGTTAATTTTTTTTTCAAACCCTCTTGCAATAAGAACTTTTTCCCCCTCTTCTTCTTCTTCTTCTTCTTCTTCACAGGTGAGTATTCTTCTTTTAATTTTCCTTTATTCTTGTTGTTTTTATTTAACTAGTGTATTAGAATATAAGGTTCATTTCTTTTGTCTGTCTACATACATTTCTCTCTCCATCTCTCCCTCCCTCCCTCCTTCCCTCTCCCTCTCTCTCGTTCTATATATAGGTATATCAACTGTGTATTATTATTATTGTTGTTGTTATGTGAGTGAGTGAG